CTCATATACAAGCGATAATATTATAATCTCCTAAGAATATTATAATATACTCTTGCTATTATATGAGGATATCTATCATTGATTTATATACATGGCTATTTTTCCTGTGTACTGTAAAACAGTATATTAGTTTATATTTATCTATTTATTTCATTTATTTATTAAACGGGATTTCGTGTAATTTTTTACAACTTTTCTATTGCAATTCGATTAATTTAGTGAATAAATTTTAGGGAAGAAAACATTACGTGAATATAATGTAAAATAACGTTCAATGTTACAATTTCAATGATGCGCATATGGCGGAGTGATTAGCGCGAAGGCAAAAGAGGGCGGATATAATCGTGACGCCGCGCGACGAGCTTCGACTACGATTACGTCTGTCATTAACCCGTCGGCGTGCAAGAACCGTTTCCGGGTTGCCGAGGTGTCATCAAGAAGACACGCTCGGATTCCGGACCAGCGCGTCGCCGCCGGTCTCGGCAGATGGAGATGAGTTTTCTCCACTTTCACACGGAAACGAGCGCCGTGAGACACGTGCTGCGCCAGCGGTGGCCAACCCGATGGTCGGGCGAACAAGCCCGTTATCGTTCTCCCATCGGACTGCAATATCATGGACGAGGATCCCTCATTTTCATCATCATTAAATCATCATTAAATCATTTCCACGCTGAATTGGAACGAACACACGACGAACGCTAACGAAAAACGGGGGATCCGCGAGTCATCGTCGGCGATCGACGCCGTTCTTCCTCGGCGATCCCAACCAATAAACCGGCCCGTGGCTCGCGAATCGGAATCAATTGAATTCGCAGCGAATTGGTCAACGCGGCGGTCAACATCATCGCGTGCCGAAGATCGATGCCGCGCGGACGACGATCGACGCAAGCGCGTGCTCGTAAAATGCACGTTGCTCGTAAACGAAGCATGAACGCTCATTATTTTCCTATAATCCACATTTCTGTGAATTGAAATTCAAGCGAGCGGTTTGTCTGATATTTAACTTGTTAAAATCGAACTCGACATAAATCGTTCTGGAATATTGCAATATATTTATATATACTTTATACATGCTTTATTTTACAATCATGTGTTCTATAAAAGAAAAGTAATAATAATATACTTATTGTACCATTTTTTATTTCCTTTCTTTATATTTCATACTATTTTCTATTCTCCATGTGCTTTTCATTTGTGTATTTGTTTCTTCGTGTCTTAAAGGCATTATGCCGAAGGGCACGTCTCTCGTGAAGAAATGAATAAAAAAATAAATATTTTAACATATATTTTTTTATCTCTCTAACGGCGAGGTTGGGTCAAATTGACCTCGCGGCTCCTATTATTTTCCACGCGCTGTTTCTCTTCTCGGAAGAAACGGTTTCATGTTAGTATTTACTTCTTTTACCCATTTTGTACATTGATTACTTGAAAAACTAACAAAACGGAGCATGGATCCGATCCCACTTTCCTGGATACATTGAAAACCCGTCTTGCCATCAGTGAGCGAAGTGCGATACACATTGCTGGCGACGCTCGCAAACACGCGAGGTTTCCTCGCGATCGGACAACGATACGTCAAGCGTTAATTGGAATTTTCAATAGATATATTTGCATTTGAGTTACGTGCCCTTATATTTGACTCCAGTCATGGACCGACCGTTCGACAGAAGCATTCGCGCTGAGCGCATCCTGAACGCACTGAATATTCCTTTAACGTCCAGCCGGCGTGTAATCCTTACTAAATATATTCGCGCCTCAGCACCGTTTACTCTTACGTTCGGCTCCCGAGTCGCGGAACCGTCCAACGGAACTATCCATTCAGCACGATCCCCCAATTATTTCGAGCAGTACGCACGTCGAACGTCTGCCTCGACGTGCTCCCGATGCTCACGTGCGCCGCTGCGTTATGCGTGCTTGTGCACGTGCAAATCCGCGTGCGCGATTGTACGCATCGATGCGCACCGGCGCGCGTCCGACAAAATCCCGTCAGAAGACGCACCTCCTCCGCGGCCTCGCGACGTTCGATTTCTCGCCGCCATTCAATTACGAGTGGAAGGAAAATTTCGCTCGATTAGCGAAAGTGCGTAGAAAGGCTCGCGGCGGATTTTCCCAGCGTTTTTACTTTCATTCACCGCCGTCGCTCCTCGCCGCTTTTAACGAGATACCGATTGCGGCCGCGATAATCCCGTCGCGAACGGCGTCGCAAACAAAGTCCCGGGCGCGCGATATACAATGGTCGTGAATTTGCATAAAGAAAAACCTACCGTGGTTCGCGTTCGAGCGAGCGTGTGTGCGTCTCTCATCCATGCGAAATGCGCGAAATCGTCCGTCACGATCGTTTTCTACCGCGATGAGGGACCTTGAGAAGCGAACGACTCGTGGGAGAGACCGTGACTCAGAGTCGCGCCTCCTACGCGCGTCGATATTTTCGTTTTTTTTTACTCCTCCATTTTTAATAACAATAAGGAGAGAGAGAGAGCGATGTTCAGGTGGAACGCGGTGTCACGAATATTCAGCGCGCGATGCTTAGCATTTATCGTTTCATTTCGTTTCATCATTCGTTAACGGGAATAGCCATTAGTCAAAAGATTTTACAGAAAGAGGAGAAGAATATATATGTTGTAAAGAGCGATATGAAGAGGAGTGAGTACATAACAATATATATAACGAAGGATTATTAAATTATTCTGTACTATGTCACGTAAAATTGAAAGCATGAACGAGCAGAGAATAGATCAAGAAATTCAAACTGATAAGTGACAAATTAATCGGAATAATAAGAATAATTAAGTAAAAATCAGGGCTATAATTTAGGAAATATTCATGTCTCAACGATAGAATCTATAAAAGTGAGTTCTTGAAAAATGATGGTACCACCGCCGAAAGAATTTAGTGTTGGGGAAAATTCACAGACTAAAATACAAAATCTGCTTATAGAAATAAAATTAGCGTACATATATTTTACGAGCCTCGATGAAAAAAAAAATGGAAAATGAAGCGTGTGTAAATGTTCTTGGCGGGATATTAATTATTTATTAAACAAACCACGTGTAACAATTGATCCGCTCGACATCGTTCGATTTGTATCGTTCGACGTTGATTCGCGTTGTTAGTCATTTATTATTACACAAGACGATTATGAGTGGCATGGCCGATTCATGTGACTTTGACTGACTCCGAGCGTAGCTCGCATTATAGATGATCCCCGCGACACGTTTAGTCTCCCACAAAGTGAAATATGAGCCGCACGGTGTAAGAAATCGAGATTGATGAGCGAAAAAGGGGTTAAAGCCGCGCGCAGCCAGACGGGTCGACGATATCGTGATCGCCGGGTTGTTTTCCCCGAGAACCGCTGACGGAAGCAATATTGCAGTCAAGGCCGAACTCGTCGAAACAGTTAGCGGTTTCAAGTCGTACAGCTCGAGCCTCGGCACCGGCTCGCTAAAGTTCAATCCAGAAACCGGACGCAGACAATCGGCGGCCGGAATCGCGATGAAAAACATCGTTATCGCGCAGCCGCGAATCTCCGTTCTGCAGCGCGCCGCGCTCGCGAAAGGTGCAAATGAGTTTAATTCATAAATCCACAAGGCGACACCTGTTTTCTCGCATCTTATTCATGAAAGCAGACAAAATCCCCCGTTGAATCCAAACGAAATTAATATTTCTTATTTGCTCGCGATTTTAGAAATTTCATTTTAGGAATCACAACATTTTTTAGAAACAAAATTAATATTTCGAATTGCTTACAATTTTAGAAACTCGAGAAATTTTTCATCACCTAACAACTCAAAATTATAATATTCTTGTTTATATATGAGAATATCCATCATTGATTTAAGATTAATTCTTCTCCACATATATACGAATATGAACGAAATTACTATGTCTCAATTCTTAGGATTTTTTTTAAATCTCGAGGAATCTCCGAAAAGAGGATATCTCGATCGCGTTGTTCTTATTCTTCAATCTTCGCTTACGCGAGCCACAGCTGAGAGGTACTTTTAACAACGTAAAAGAGAGGACTAAGAAATTCATTCTTGGTTTCTCGACGGAACAACTCGCGAGACATTAATTATATAGGGAAAGAAGTTGATTAATAGTCTCGCTCGCGTTAGCGCGACGTTGAGATCGCGGATCAACGGCTCGCGTCTCGCTCTCGTCATTTTTCACGGGCTAATTCAATTAAATTTCTCACTACATCGCGCGCGCCTCGTTTCCACCGAGAGCCTGCGAGTTGCAACCTCAAACAGAAGCACGCCACACACGCGTCGTTGCATTCAAATCAGCAATTCAGCCTCGTAGAACCGTCGCCGAGAGCTGTGCCGGCAATCAAACACGGGCATTTGTGTAAACGATCGGCCTGTGCGCGCTCAATAGTGATTCCAGCCGACGGGATCAACATATCGGCCCGAAGTTTCTTCAATAGCTTCGTTAAACCTTATATCCGTTGTATATTGTACACCGATATCGTGTCCTTCCCCGAATTTTACGCCGCCCGATAACAAACTCGCGATTAATCGCACTCGGCGAAGTTAATCGCACTTGCTCGTGTTTATATACGGCGCCCGACAAAATGTTTTGAAATGATTTCTATCCGGGTAATCATTTCCCGCTTATAATATACATACATAAATATTTTCCGTTTTTATTTTAGATAATCACACAGAAAAAAAATACTAGATTGATGTAAATAATTACTCCGATATTTTTTTAATGAACTTTTACTTGGATGATATTTATTCGATTTAAATAAAATTTATTTAATCCAAGTGAAACTTTGTAAGGAGTAATTATTTACTTGAATCTGGCATATATTTTCTGTGCATTTATCAAACGTATACACGGAAGAAATATTGCAGGAAAAATTACCACAAAATTGTGCAATGTTGGGTCATACCGGAATCATAACTGAAATTAAGATATGATATATGTTGTTATCTTTACTGATGTATTTCATTATACATATTACTCAATTTTTTCATCATTTTTACTACGACATTTTCTTCATATATATTCTGTGCGTGTGACATTTACTCACATGATACATTTGTTTCAATTAATATATATATGTGTGTATAAATATTTAGCATCTTATATATTGATGCAACGAAATATTTCTTCTTAGCATCATTATATGCGCGAGAATCTTTGATCTTTCGATATACAAACTTACGGTGGGAACCGTTTTTGCCGACACGGTCGCGTGGCGATATGAATTTTACAATCGACTCCTCCGCCTCGAGTCACGTCCCCGCGACGTTAAGTGGATTCGCGCGAATTTCAACGGGAGTCGCTCAAGTCATCGAATAATTGTCGCGATCATGGCATCGGGGTATCTCTCTTTTGGCCTTCTTCAGACGTGTAAAACGTGCTAATCGCTTTAAGTGAACCTAATGCCCGAATCGAGGCTAAGTTTTCTATCGTGGCGAGCGTGTACACAAGTGGATGAGGTCTATTCTTCTCCCTTATTTGCCGGCCGCTTGATCCCGCGTTCGCTCGTCTTCACGACACAACGTCCGTCATGTCAGACGTATACCTGCCTGCAATGCATTTGTACACGGCTAAAATGACCGCTCCAATCGGGGATAACGCGCGCGCGAACGACGTGCAGGAACTACGCACGTTCCAGTTACACTCACTGCTCGAATCGATCTTCCCACGAGATGCCTCGCCGTGAGAAAGGCGGATGTCCATTCTGAATTCAGCACGGAACGAGAGGAATCTCCTTCTTCTTCTCTTTCGGATACCCGCCGCTTCTCTTTGTCCGCCGCCCCTCCGTCCTTCCGTCATCTCCGTCTGACGCGATTTTCGCACGTTTCGGAATCGCGAAAGTGCCGATCCGATATTACACGGCACGCGCGTCGCGCGCTTCGACACTTCTTCCTCTGAAATTATAACGCGCGATAGACATCGGAAACTTTTACTTTGTAATGCCCGCGATGTATCATAATAAAACTTCCTTCTGCGTGCGTGTGAAATGTTACAATATCGTAGTAGAAAGTATATTAATTGACATACTTTACAATTGGCATATATTATGATTCCGCACGATTTGCGTGATTTTTATCATATGATATCGTATGACGATCATAGACACATAGGACAGATCGTAGGATATCATATGATAAAGTCGCATCTCGCGTATTGTGGAAAATAACAGTAAATAATTTTTCAAGTTTGATGAAATACGGTGAGAAATTTTACATTGTTATTTTCACAAAGAATCATAAATGTAAAAATAACACAGGAATGTTAAATATAACTTATTCCAATGTTTGGATTTTAAATTTCTCGCAGTGTTCCAGTGTTAATTAATCCAAATACCTTAGGAAAAAATCAATATAATTTTCTATAATTTCGCACGCTGTATCACATTTCCAAGATGTCATATGTGTAAAATCGTATTTTATGTTCCGCGAAACATTCGATACCTCGCCAAGTTTAATAAAAATATCACGGAAAACGTTAAGTTATAATTTTCGCGTGAACACAAATATCGTATGGAAATATCAATTGAAATATCAATTTTTCGTCAATTTTTAAGGTCAAACGAAGACAAGGGGTTCTTCGAGAAGTCCCCAAATGGTAAAAGAAAAACCGATCTGGAAGGGTTGATCTCGGAGCCTTATCCGGCTCGGCCTGAATTTTTCTCGGCTACGACGTGCGCGTTTTCCTCACGCCTCCTGCATTCCGCGACGCGCCTCGTTAGACTTGACACGTATTACTTTGCATTCCCGCAAGCACGTCTCGGCTGAGTGTTACTGCCTGCTCCTCGCGCAACAAAACACCACCGGAACGCGGCTCGCCGGAGCGGATAAACCGGCCCGCTTCGATTTCCAACGTGTGGAGCGCGCGCCGCGCTTTTCCAACCCGCACGAGCCGGAACCTTCCCCGATAAAGGAACATACGGCCCGTGCGGCTCCATAAGAACGAGATGAAGCATGAACGGTTAATTGTGGCCTCGAATAACCGTAAAACATAGCTGTCCGCGTGTAAAGAGGAACGCGGGGTTTACGTCGTAAAATAAAGTAGAACTTCGTTCGATCTTCTGTGATATGACTTTGCTTAATTAGAGAGGATCGATATTAGCGGTCGTGATATTGAAATAGACATTGAATTAAATATTGTTTAAATTGATATTGGCAATCGTAATATCCAAATTGTGGGAGAATATTGTTGGTGCTATAATTAACTTGTTTTCTTGTATTTTATTCAGAATTTCTTTATTTTTCGTATAATCTTTTGTATAATTCCCTACATCGCATGATGATTTTATTCCCATTGATTATATGAATAAATAAACAAATAAATGTGAAAATTTACATTATACATTATTAATTCCGTATTATCATGTATTATTGCCGTTGTTAATTGATATCTTCGCGCCCAGGCGAATTTCAACGTATCGATGAAAAAATATCCCACCCGAAATTGAAAGAACAGAATCTGTAAACTTTTCGTGTTTTCGTGGTCTCGGGAATTTCGTGCTTTGCGGCCGCTCGGAAGATCGACGTTCTCGCTAAGAGGAAAGCGGGTGACCGTAGTTGCACATATCCAATAGATAAAACAGCGATAATCCGGCGGAGCGTCTGGTATTTGTACAGCTTCCCTTACCACGGCGATATCCTGTTCGACGATGGGAAACGTCGTTCGTTTCATCGGAACATCGATCTTTCTCTCTCTCTCTCTCTCTTTTCTCGTCTTTCCGTCGTTCTCGTTCTCGTGAGTGCGCAACTACTGTGATAAGGATACCGGGGCGAGTTTCACGGGCGTGTACGAAGGACTCGCTGATAAGTCGATAACATTCACGACGGTGTGTCAAGGCCCAACGTCGCTTGGATGTAATATCGCTGTCGTAATTTTCTGCTCATTAATGTCGCGCGAGCGCGTCATCGCGGAAGCGTTTTGCGAAAGAGGAGCCGCCGCATGTAGGCAGTACGTACTCGTACAAGCGCGTCATGAGCATTTCATACACGCGATCCTTGACATTTCACTGACGATGCACTCCACGCGATCGCGGAGGGAGCGAGGAGGATAAGCCGAGAGGAGGCGGCGGCGGCGGCTGCAATTAGCGCCGAAAATTGCGAGATCGCGGAGTTGAAAAAATTACGAGACCGAAGAGCGGAGAAGCTCTGGCGGAGGCTCCAAGGACGACACTTTGTCGCTTTATGCAACCGCGCGATAAAGATACCAACTGCGCGTTCTCAGGTAACGCATAGTGCTTCGGTATTGCGTGTGTGTGTGTGTGTGCGCGCGCGCGCGCGTGAGTGAGTGTCACTGAAAAGTAGCGACGGAAGTGAAGGTAGAAATCGATCAGCGGTCGCGCGACTGTCAAGTTCCGTGCGCTTAGCTACATGAATTTATCAGAGCTGCGATAAACAGGAATCCTTCGTAGGCTGCGTGTGCTTAAGGATAAGCTACGTTTGGCTCACAGAGATGTATTGTACGTGTGCGCGTGAAATCTTAAAAAAAAAAACGTATAAAATACTTTAGCTGATAATATATCTTTATGTACAGGGTGCCCGATAATTCGTGGAACATTTCTTGCGTGGAATGGGTTAAACTGAGTAGAAAGGTCCTTATGCTTAGCTATTGTACCTGGAAACAGATTCGAGGTTCGAGACTCAAGGTTCGATGTACTGACGTCTGTCGTTAGGCACGGCAGCTGTCGTATATTTATAAATTAAGCCACTTTGAAGAAAAGAGTCCTGCACCATTTTGCAAATAACACCCGGATTCTTGAGTTATTAATTAAAGCGTCCTCTATATATGACCGTTTCCAATCATTAATAATTCGAAATTTTGCGTAGTTGTTTGTAGAATAGTAGAAGACTTTTCCGCTCAATTTAATCAATTCTACCTGCACGCAAACGTTGCTCCATAAATTACCAGACTATATGTATATTATTCCATTTCCTCTTCGCGGAACTCCATGTGAAAGGATTTCACAGGATAACTCTTTGTTGCTCGAGAAAATCCTGTGACAATCTCGGTGTTCCGGGAAACATTCCAGAATTACGATTCTGTCGAAACAGCAAAAGTTCCGGAACTTTTCCCGAGGCGTCGGGGGCTGCTTCAGAGAAGATCATTATCTTCCTGAAGGTAAAACAACTATTTCTGTGTTCGCTGGTCCTTTGTAAGGATTTTTCAAAGGGAAACGCGATAACGAAATTATGTCCGTTAGAAAGATATAGATACTCTTTCATACACAGATTATATTAAATTGTTATCAAGTCGTGAAATTAAATCTGCTGGCGGCACGTTGACACGATTGATAACGCGAATGCCGAAATATCGGTAGAAGGGCGAACGAATTCTCCGCCAGGGCTGTAGACTTTATCGATCGCGTCTTCAAGCTTCGTTCCCCCGGCCACGAAAATGCACGGTCCGTGACCGCGTTACGTCAGGAACGGGCTTTCAAATCCAGCCACAATCCTTCCACGTGATGGCGCGGGAGAAAGAGAAAGAGAAAAAGGAAGGAAAGAGATAGATAGATAGAGAGAGAGAGAGAAAGAGAGAGAGAAGGAGAGAGTCGAGCGCTGAGAGTGGGCTCGGAATACATTTTCATATTCTAGAGCCCACTTTAAGCCGTGTCTACTAACATCGGTGTGCGAGATCGAAACTTCACGCTCGCAAATTAACCATATCGACTCGAGAAAACGGCATAACGGTGGTAGGAGGGGAATCCCCGAAAGAAGGAGGAAGACATAACGGACGGCACGATCGCGTTCATTTCCGCGAGCGAATTATCCGGCCGCGCGAGAATCGCAGAGGTGCATGAGAGATAAGAAACAAACATTTGAATACATAAAATACTACGTGCGAAAAAAAAAATACACGAGATACAGGTACATGTTAACTCACGTGTAAAAATATACACGCTTAACGTAAACGTCAGCCGCAGACCGCGATATACGTCGGCGGTGTTCTCCGTTAGACGTGGAACGCACGTCGGAAAACGTAAGAGAGAGACAGAAAGAGAGAGAAAGAGACAGACAGAGAGAGAGAGAGAGAAAGGGGGGGGGAACGAGGTGGGAGGAAAGGGGGCAGTAAAAAAGAGAAAGGTATGATAATTACCAAGGAGTCGTCCCCATTGTCAGCGCTCATAGCCCCCCGCTCGCGCTAGAGGGACCCGGGCTCGCTCGCTCGCTCGTCCTCGTCGTCGTCGTCTTCTCCGTCGCGGTCGTCGTCGTTCTCGTCGCTCCTCCTGGTCGCGGTGCTTCCGGCAGCAGCGCGAGCCCGCGCTCGTCATTCTGCGCTGGGCCCCGTCGGCCGGACGGGACCCCCGTGGGACTCTACCGGTGGCCGCTCCTGACACCTGTCATCCGGCATCGCGCCACGATGCCGAGGAACGCTACGACGTTTCACCGAGCGACGCCGAAGGGGTACTTTCCGTCTGCTCTCTTCTTTTCTTTCTTCCGGCTCCTCTCGGACACTCTCAAAGGGGGATACCGGGCGTCGGGAAAATGAAAAGGGAGGGAGACGCGCAGAGGAAGAGAATAACGACCACGGGGAGGGGGGAAGGGGGGATTATAATCGGATGAAAAATGGGGGGATGGAGCGCACCGGGTGATCACAATGGGCGAGATATATCAGAGCAGAAGTGAAAAAGATAGGAAAAAACCGTAAGACGGATCGAAGGGATGACTGTAAAGCTTTTGTAGTCTTGGGGGAAATATGAGGGAGAGTTAAACATAGATCTCTCTGAGGTAATCACCTTGAGTTTTTCACCGCGATATTACGGAAGTGAGGTAGGGAAGAACGAAGGTAGAGAAGGGAGGAAGAGGAAGTGACTAAAAGGGATGTGAGACAGTAATATCGAGCGTGACTGTGCGGATATAGTAAACGTAGTATGAATAATGCAGGAATTACTATGATACGGTAGACCGTGGCGCGTAGTAAAGGATCTAGTCGCGACTATAGCGAGTGTCAGGTTCGGATCACGGTTATAAAGATACAGCGTTCGGCGTGTCGGCGAAAAGGACGATCGAAATTGGACCGGACGAGAGACTGTAAGGGCTCACGGATATGCTAAGGGCTATAGGGATATGCGCGCACCGTGTCAGTCGAGGGAGGAAATATAGGGATTTAGGGATATGTGCCGTCGTTGGACGGCGTCGTCTATGAGGTAGTCGCTCGGAATAACCCTTAGGGTACCTCCCGAGGGCGCCCCCTTGGACGCCTTGGACGACCGCACTCTCACAGGCACTCGACGAAGGCCGGAGCGGGCGAGAATAAGAGAGAGATGGAGAGCAACACCGCAACCGTCAGTTGGAGAGAGACAGGGAGAGGACACTGACACACGAAACGTCAACGACACCTTAACACGTCGTCCTTCTCCTCTCTTTCTCTCTTTTCTCCTCCGTCTTTCTCCCTCTCTCTCTGTCCCTGTCTTTTCCACACCGAAGCACCCGACGAGTTTTCTCACTCACTTCACGCTACCGAAGGAACCTCGAAGCTCCGAACTTCGCACTCCGACACCTTAGCTCTTCGTGCCGAGCGGTCGCTATATCGAGTTGCACCGCTCGCGAACGCGGACAGACAGACGGACGGACGGACGGGCGGCGACTTCTCTCTCTCTCTCCCTCTCTCTGTCTCTTTCTCTGGAGTGAGCGAGTGAGTGAGTGCCGTTCCCTGCGAGAGAGCGCTTGTTCTCCAGCGTGGATGGAACGGGGACAGGGGAGCGGTCCCCGCTTTGGCTCGCGAAAGGAAAGGAAAACGACGGCGGCGGCGTGGCCGGGGGGTGTGGGGCACCGGGGACGTGAGCGCGTGAGCGCCGCGCCGCGCCAGCCGGGAAATTGGCAGCTCGTGCTTCTCGCGAGTCGGACCTCGGTGTGCGACTGTGTGCGCGACGTACCGGAGTGCCGGTGTACAGTTTTTCCCACCGTGACGATCCTGGGTGGGGAGACGACGGTGCCGCCATTTGTGACGGAGGTGCTTCTCCGGGTCCGCTCGAGTACACCCAGGGCCGCATCGACCAGCAGGTCGTGGCCGAGTCGAAGGGTCAGGCGACGCTGGATTCGAAGGAAAGCCCGGAGGGTGTAAAAACCGGGGGAGGGGGAGAAGTACTCGGGTTGGACGATTTCGAACAGACTTTTTGCAAAACTTTCAGTCGGATTCGCTACATCGTCAAATCGATTAGACAGGCGTCGAGAGATTCAAAGTGGCGCGAAATCTCGAAGAATGAGACTCTAAAATCGTTCGAAGAAACGACTGTCCTGTTCTTCGGGCAATTTTAGGTGGACTTTAAGTCAGTAAAATGTAATTCGGCTCGTGAATATCATGATGGTTCGACATGAAAGATGAGAATAAAATAATCCAGATGTCCGTTTGAATTCTCGACGTAAATCGCAGAAGAGAAGCTGAAATTTTTGGGATATCGCGCGTCTACGTGAAAAAACTTGGAAGTGAAAGAGGGTCCGCGAAATTTGGTAGATCGATTTTGCAAAAATCTCGTACGCGTCGTTTTTGTCCCTGAAACTTTCGCATCCGCAGTGTCTGCTCGCAAATAGCAGCGGTGTCTTACCGGTTCATCAGTCTGGTACACACAGATCGCAGAGCTCCGCCTTGCTTCGCCTTCTTCAAGGTTTCACGTTCGTGATCCATGAGCGACGGCCATGAAAAGAGAGACTCGATGCGCGGCGTTTAGAATCGCTTCGCCGCTTTTGCTCCTGCTTTCCGAAGAGAACAGAGCGACGGTCACGGTATTTCCATCTTCGGACCGATCTTGAAAGCCCCCGCGGGCTCTGTCGCCCCGTGAAATCGCGTAACGTTTCGCGACTATCGGTAAATTCGGTGTTTTTCCACCCGTCGCAGTCAGCCTCTTCTTTCATAATCGGTGTGCTCGGATTTTATCCGTCTCTCAAGTAGCTTCTTTTACTTCGCGAGCTTCAACTTTTTTAGATTGATTATGATAATCTAGATCTAAGTCGACGAACAATTGAGAGAAAACACGGATGTCATTGTTAACAGGGTGATATTCTGTTAGAAAATTTAATAACTCAAATTCGCTTAAACGTGAGGTCAACGTGAAAGATTGAAATATAACAGAAGGGCTACCTTATGAGCGATCAAACAAGATGGTTGTGGAGAGAGGACGAGGGGATGTCTTTCTTTTTCTCGAAGCCAGAATTTTCCAACAGTAAATGACACGGCGACACGACCCTTGTCGTCGCGCTTTTGGCGCCGAGCGTGGCTGTATGCGGTTTTAATTATCAAATTTATTCTGAATTTATCAAATTTGACTTATCGAGCAATCGAGGATCGCAATCGAAGTCCCTTATTTCCTAACGGTCATGAGTTAAATCCCCGAATCGTGAAAAAATTTCCCGTCGAGATAATCAGTGAATTAATTCATATCAAAATGCGAAACGGGAAAGCGAGGGGTGTTTTAACGTCGCGTTTCAGCGCCAAACGCGCTCCGACGGCATAAACTAGAAAGAGACGGCACATTCAGACGACAGACGAGACAGACTTTTTCACAACATTTAATAAAACGCTATCAACTATGTGTATGCCTCTTTTTTACTCAAATACTCTAAAAGTTACTTACATACGTGTGTAATTTATATGTTTATTTTTCATTCATATCGCGCGCGCGGGCGCGCGGACGTGTCACATTCCCCGCATCGGACGCACCCCACGCGCATTTTCCGAAGCGCCCTTCGGACTTTTCGCCCCTCTCCCTTCCCTCCCCCCCTCACTCTTTCTCTTCCTCCTATTCTTATCTCTCTTCCTCTCAGCAATCAGCGATCTCTCCGTTTTTGCTCGTTTTCTTATTAGGCACCGATCATCGATGATGAACACAGTGAGGTACGAAAGCGCGATTAAGGGATGAGAAAACTCAAAAGAAAAGTAGAAGATGGGTGCCCCGTGAGAGTTGACACGTCCGGCTTCTCGACTCTGTATGTGTACGTGTGTGATTGTGTGCCTGTTTTGTGTGTGTGTGTGTGTGTATCAGAGATATTTGTATGTATGTGTATGCTTCTGCTTGCCTGCCTCTTTCTCTCTCTCTCTCTCTCTCTCTCTGTGTGTGTGTGTGTGTGTGTGTGTGTGTGTGTGGATATATCGCGCGTGTTTCTTTACGTGTGTATATAAATTTAATACTATCGTCGTTATCGTTTACGTTTTCTTATGTATATTACTTCAATTAATCGTGGACACAGCGATCAACGTCCCGGGATGCTAAAGAGAGGTCCGTTCTCTTGAATGTCTCTACGGGGGTGATTGATTGATTGATTGGTTGATTGGTTGGTTGGTTGGTTGATTGGTTGAGGATGGGCGTGCAAAAGGTAGTCGGCGTGATGGTATGGTTGTGCCCCTCGCGAGCTTCCCTCGTTCTCCCTTGAACCCTCTTCGTTCCTTCGCAGCAAGCCGAGCTCTCGTCGTCTTCAGCGCGAATTTCCCTCTTCCTCTTTCTCTCCTTCTTCTTCAGCTTGCTCCGCCTCCTCTTCGACTTTGCTTCGAGGGTCGGTCGAATGTTTCGTTTCTCCGTACGTCGTGCCTCCCTCTGCCGCGTAGAAGGGAGTATTCGCGCGATTAAAATCGTCTATAATTCCGTGTAGGCACCGTTAATATCAGTTACAAATGCGCGTTTAACAATTGAAGCTTCGAAACCGTCGAACGCGTCGGGCGCCATTTCTGTGAGGATAGAATCGCCACTTTGCGGGAGCCTGGTGATCCTCGGATTCACGCTGGCGACGTACAAAACTGCCCTCTCCGCGGCTCTCCGCGAACGATTCCTCGCAACGAAACACACACGACGATTGTAAAAGTGTCGAAACCACGGCCATGTGTATATATATGTACATCAATTTTTACAGGTGTAAAGGATCAATCGCAAGGGATCGCGACAAGAGAAAGAAAAATTCGACAAAAACGAATGTTACTCCGGCGCTCGACGTGTTCGAGACTCCTTTTACATCTCGCTCTCTCTCGTTCTCTGTGGATTCCGTCGCGCAATGAATTCGCGTGTGAAATTCCCGCGGGAAGAAAATCGAAATTCGCGCCTCGCCGTCCGATCATCGTGCGACTAAACACCATTCGCAGCTCCTACACTGACTGGCGTAAAAAAGTCCCATAATTTGTCCCTTAACCTACGAACCTTGCGGACTGCACCTCTTATCTTTCTTCCTTCCTTCCATTCTTTCCTCGTCCCTCGTAAGCACAAGTATCACAATCGTTCACGTTTCACGCTCGTCTACGAACGTGTCACGTGTACGCGTGCGCCTTCCTCCTCACGTTTTACCGTTTGTTTCCTTCTCCGTTTCCTCCCTTCCCCTCCCTTTTGTTCCTGCCTCCTTCGAACCGCGGCTTCGAGACGACGCCGCTTCTCGTATCGTTTCAGAACGCGACTTTCGGCGGCTCTAGACGGTTCGAGAGATCTCAGATCTTCGTTCTGGAACGCGACTTCCCCGTCGGGGAAGATTCGTCCTTCGCCGGTTGGAAAATTCGTACGCGAAATCGAGAGGACAGCTCCAGCGTCTAAACTAGAAAATTCACTCGGTGGACTCTCGGTAGAAAGTATGAAAACGAATCCCGCGCAGATATACAGATATAAATTTCATCCCGATCCTCCCCGCAGATGATAAAAAAATATATATGCGCGCGTGTATATATATAGGCGTGTGTGTATATATATACAATAAATAATACCAATTTCCGAGGACACGCGACATATCCAATAAATATAAATATAAACGACAGGTGTTCCGATCGTCTCCCATCTCGGCGGACATTCCAGAGTGAAGAGCGGTTCTCTCTCGAATCAGAGCGAGCAGAGTTCGCCCCCCCCCCTCCCCCAGATATCGATCGATATTATTCTATCACCGAACGCGCGATCCCCAAAACGGATTCGAGGCTCGCTTAAAAAGACACGCGCGACACGCCTCCGGTCGCGCGTGCACGCGCTCCTCTCCTTTACGCGCTTAAGATATTAAAGTTAGGTATTATAAACTGCAATCTAAGCTGATCCCATGTTGTTTCTTGGTCACAACCTCGTTGAATCTCTCTCTCTCTCTCTCTCTATCTCTCTTCCCTCCTGCTCCATCCCTCTCACGGATCGCTCTCGTAGATTCCCGACGGAGATCGTGGCGGCGGGCTCTCCCGCTCCAAGATCCCGGTCGTCTCGCTCGAGCACGTCGCCGTCGTCACCTGGCTGCCGACCGTCTCGACCTCACCTGGCCCGGGATCGAACATCGAAGCCGCTTCCACCGCGAGCGAGACAGAGAGCGCTCTCGCGGGAGGCCTTCTTTACCAAGTAAAGGACCCTGTATGAACAATATTATTTACGGGACGCGTAGTGCGAAGACATTCAGCGAGCACCGGTCACTTCTCGCCGACGATGGAAGCGACGGGTGGTGAGGAGTCACCCGGTCGATCCCGGCCTGTGTATCTCCCCGGCTCGAGAGCGACGTTGACGGCGACGCGACGAGTCTCCTCCATCCCGGGCGGACGCACACGTCATAGTCGTAAAATTCCCTAACGACTCCTCTCCACGAGACCCCTCGTCAGCCTGGTGATCCCCCGGAGACCGTACTCCCTCCTCCTCGGAGGGTGCTCACCGATCGCGCGGGGGTGAACTGTAATACGGACGCGTTCTCCAGCAGGGTGTAGCCGAACGTCCTGTGTTCCACGGACTCCGTCGTGCGCGGATAGTCTCAGCCGAGAAGCTTCCGGCAGATCTTAGCTTCGAAGCGCCGCATCCTTGGGGTGGTTCGGGTCACCGAGGTGGTCTAACCGCGAATAACGGGATGCGGGACTCCTCGAGGGAGTCGCACTTCCGAGCGGCGAATCGGACGCGCGCTGCTCACCCTGACGCGGCTTACGCGTCGGTGTCGGGTGACTTCCGGCGGGCCTAGGCGGACACGGTCTCCACCATGGACTTCTTGATGATCTCGCCGAAGTTCTCGTCGCAGTCCTCGGTGCTCTCCGACTGCTGCTCGCTCGCGACGGCCGGATGCCCGGCCTCCATCTCGACCTTGTTGCCGGCGGCGTGATAAGTACCGTGCTGCTGCGGCTCCATCTCGCCGTAGTACGAGTACCTGCCGGACAGGAGCTCGGAGAAGGGCTCCAGCTTGCCCATCTGCTGCACCACCGCGTTCATCGGCTGCACCGAGTTGGTGAGGTTCGTGTACTGCGAGCCGGTGCTCTCGTCCTGCGCGAACGCCGTCTCGTAGGACGAGTGTTGCTGGCTCGGGTGCACCTGACAGCCGGGCTGGAGCGCGCCGCCATCTTGGCCGCCGTAGGGTCCGTAGTGCGAGAAACCCGGGCTCGTCGGCATCGACTGGAACTGCGGCTGGAATTGCACCCGCGACGTGGACGGTACATTCGCGTACGGCTGGTAATCTTGGTACGAGGACTGCTGGAAGCTCATGCCGCCGCCACCGCCGCCACCGCCTCCTCCGCCGCCGGCGCCGCTACCTCCGGCGCTTTGGCTCGAGAAGCTCTGGAAGGCTTGGCTGAACTCAGGATGCAGCTTCCGCTGGCCCGACTGGCTGCCGTCCACCGCGTCCTCGCTCGGGTAACAGTCGTCCCGGATGGCGTACAGGTCGAGGCTGTCCTCCCGTGTGCCGGGCACCTCCGGTTGGCAGCCGGCGCTCACCACGCCGGCGGCCACGCCCTCGTGGCTCTCGTAGTGCAAGGTGGTGAAGCCACCGCCACCTCCGGGCCCACCCGGCGCGCAGCCGTCGCCGCCGGTGGCCTCCATCACGGTGCCCATATTGATGTCCCGTAAGGGGCCGCCATTCCTGCCGCTGCCCTGTTGATTGTCCGCTACCTCGTGCTCGCCGCCCTCCTCCTCGCGCTGCTTCTTCTCCAGCTCGAGCCGCATGAGCGTGTGGATGAAGTGGGTCCGCACCCGCACCGGGTTGAACTCGATCCTGCCGGAGCTGTTGGCGCAGCCGTCCCGGGTGCAGCCGCACGGGAAACCGACTCGGTCCACCTGCGAACATCGATCCCGGCCGACGTGAGAACACGTATCTTCCACGGATGTGTTTTGAACGACGCGTTTCTGGGTTAATGCGCAACCGACGATTTCTCGAGGAAGACGCGCGCGGAGCGCGTATATCTCGCGGGATAGCGGAAATGAGGGCGGTCGTTCTCGATGGAAAGTCGGAGGAGTTGGGGGGACATGCAAATGCGAGATGAATGCTCGCGTTACCTCTACCTCGGGGGGGCTCTTCTCAATGATGCGCGATCGTTCTTCCGGGGTAGTCGACGATTGAACGCGAAGAATCGCCATCTAATTGGCTTCAGAGGTCGAACGGGAGGAAACATACGAGGAAGTGTCCCTCGTTGATTTTCATGGGTTTCAGATGTGTGAAGAGCACCTAAAAGATGTACTTTCTCGTGTGCGCTCAAGAGTTATAGAGAGAAGTAACCAATTCGAAATCAAAGAAAATCGAGCGAGCGAGCGAATATCTCCGAAACCGTAGAGTTTATGAGCAAGTGTCCTAGAGAATTATTAAGTATTTTCGATTCACTTGATAATTCCATTTTTAAATTCTTTATGTGCGACACATGTAAAGGATGTTAAATGGTATGTATAAAGGATTAGGGGTTGTTGCAACCCGGAAACTTGCAAGAAACGTGTGAAAAATACGCGCCTCTTATTTTAAATTGCCCCACAACACATCTGAAACCCATCACATCGTATATTCCATTACATATTTAATATCGGTAATTTGCAATCCTATAATGTTACAATATCACCGATATTACAGTTTCCCGCGCGACAACGCGACGAAGGAGACCGTTTTCGTCGACGAATCAATACGAGTCGGTCGGCACCTCGTACCTGGCATTTGACATTGGCCCTGCTGCAAGGACAGCTCTCAGGATCGCAGTATCCCTTGCAGCCGCATCCGCAGTGCTCTCTGCTCGCTCTGATATCCCGACACTCGTCCTTCTCTACCGCGTCTATCCTGCGCACCCCGGCGGCCCTGAGGAGGGCGCGCCGTTGCCACGTGGGCACCGGCTGCAAGAAGTAGTAGCTGTCGATGTCGAGCTCCTCGTTGTCGCTCGGCTCCTCGTCCGTGTCGTCGCTGGGGTCCTCGGAGCTCGATGCCGTCTCGGCGACGCAGTTCGCCGCACGTTCCGAGCGCAGCTGCGCCAACCGCGCGCGGTGAATCCGCCTCTGCTCGGCGGCGTGCTCCGATAACGAGAACCTCTCGGCGTGCGTGTGCGTCGCGCTCATGCCGAGCGTACTGCCACCCTGGAAACGGCAAGCCATCGGAATCTCCCGTGAATTCGATAATGATATTATATCAGGACGGTGCGTCCCGTTGAACGAAGAATTTCTCCTTCTTATGACCGGAAATTCTTTCCTTCAACCGAAATGCATCTGGTTGTTCCCTTCTTCTGGTTAATGTTCTCTTTTCCTGGTTGATATAAAAAAAAAAAAAGAACTTTTTTTCCACGCAGCATTTCGTACAACGCATTTTTACTTTTGAGCATTTCGAAAGGCTTCCAAGGTACGCTTTAGCGTTTAATTATAAACACTTCCTCATTCTTCTTAAATTTGAGTGTATCGTCATACGGATACGTGTACATTCGAGTGTTTTGTTCGTTATTTAACATTTCACTCGGCTGTATACATTTTGAGTTATGCGATGTTAAACGATAGAATAGCATTTTGCCAATGTTGCTCCCTAAGGCTGCTGATAATACGACTCTCTTTTTCAAGGTTCTCATATCGAAGTAGTTATTCGATAAGTCGATTCTAATCTATAGTTCATTGCTGCACTTCTATCTGTAATATACTGCTGCCTTTTGACAGATTTTATCTTCACGACAAATAAGTCAGTATCTGCGTTACAAATTCATCACAGTCATATTCATTGTTATTACTTCTAAGAGTTGATTTTAAATACATGTATAATTTCGTAACGAAACATTCTTTTGAACAAAACTAATTTTTAAACCATACCGATTTTCTCAATCTATTTCAGTTAAAGGCCATATTTCCACCCCTGTTTCTCTTCAACTCACTATGCAGTGTCGTCACATTTTATAAAGAACATACTAAATAACAAATATTTCATAACTTTGGATCTAGAATCTATTGAACTACATTTTGACGAATTCACAATCGTTCAGTTTTCAATTTAAAATATTGATTGTTAACAAAGTTATTGTACAAAATGTAAATGGGGTCAATAATACCACCGCTTCCTCTGCTAATTTTTCCACATGTGAGAATTTAATAAAAAAATGACAAGTTTTTAGTACCGACCTAATCGAAGGCGATCGCGATTACGACGGATATGTTGCAAAAGAGGCGAAAAAGAGAGGGAGTTGTCTAATGCGAAAGCGATAAGATGCAATTTCCAGTCCAGATTGAACCGGTACATCGGAAAAGGGGGATTTTCGAGGTTATTTCTTCGTATCGTCGAGTCGTATCGATGCAATTCCAGTTAATCATACGAGATAAAATAATCACTGACTTTTTTCAGCGATAGAAAAATAATGTTTTTCCGAGTGTGACGTAGATGTGGGTGCGGACGTGGAGACGTCGGCTATTACGCGTTACGTCGGGGAACGGTATCGTAGCCTCGCATTAAGATTTCCAGTTCTAATTAACAGTCACGATTAATCAAAGAGCACACAATTAAAATATCGCGCGGCGATCGCGGAACTCTCGGTGTGGAATGCGCACCTTACACGCTGTACGAAGCGCGTAAATGCTCGATTCGACGGTGCAACGGTGCACCAAGCAGAAGTATGTTATTATCAAGTCAGACGGGAGAGAGACGCGAAGGACGAGGAGAGGGGCATTCGTAATATGGCGTGAGGCAATAACTATTAACACCTCAAGTATCTTCGGAAAATATAAGAATGGGAGGGAAATTTGCCCGACCGAAATCTCATCGATACTAGTATGGTTATTGCCTCGAATATATCCGCAAATATAAACGTTTTTCACCCTCATTTAGCCGTTAGTAAAATATTTTATTTCCCGAACATATTTCCGAAAAGTTCCATTTTTAATCGAATTTCAAGTTATTGCCTCGCATATTAAATTTTTACATTTTGCATTGTGTATTACACTACATTTACACAAATAGAAACACACTCCCGCGCGCTTTGTGATTCGCGCTCGAGGGGATTCGCCTCGGGGCGTTGACTATTAATAACAATTTAATAACAACGATAACAGTAATAACAATGATAACACAATAGCAACAACAACAGAAATATTAATTACGATGACGATGATGGAAAAGTAATACACGGGAGTCGCTTGAACGTTCAAACAAGAGAGAGAGAGAGAGAGAGAGACTAGCAGCAGGGGGAGAAATTGAGTGCTCACCTGAGACGGTACGCAGGTGAAGCCCTGCGCCCTGGGGAAGTAGTAGACCGTGACCGCGTCGAACTGGATGTTGCGCTTCTTCTTCACAGGCTCGTCCGTGTTGCTCCTCTTGGGGCACGACTCGCCCTCCATGCAGTCGGTCAGCCTGCGCTTCAGGTTGCTCTTGGGCGGCGTGCGGAAGCTCGTGAGGGGCGGCTGCGGCGTCCCGGGCGTTCCTGACGTCGGCACGAAGCCGTCCAGCTGGCTCACCGCTGGAAAGGCAAGGGCGTCGTGTCACGGAACATCGTCGTGTCGCGCGACATACACGGTGTACCCCGACGGACGTCGACGAGTAGGCGGACGAACGTGCGTCGTTACGCTTCTTGGGCGCGAAAGCAGCGGCGATCCAGACCGTGCTGGCGGGGGCCGATCGACTTCCGGAAAGTGAGAGGTGTCGTTCGGTCAGCCTCCTTGATTACGCGTCGTCACGCCTCGCGCGAGAGTGCCGCTTGTCGGCGGAATCGTCCCGGACGGAAATTCGCCTCGAACTAAGAGGGCTCCTCGTGACGGGAGCGAAAACGCGGGATATCGCGTTCGCCGATCGATTCGACCGTGATTTTCGCCCGAGTGAAAAAGTTATTCGCGCTCAGGGAGATGCCAAAGGTCACGGAGGAACGCGACCGAGGGAACGAGTTCCGGCGACGTTCCGCCTCGCGAATCTCAACGGGAACCACCTCGTCGCGCGTCCACCGTCTCGCCGTTGCTGCGGGGCCACCCGGTATGTCGCGTGTTGACAATCGATGCGCGCGACTTATCGAATTGTGTTCTCCTCGCTCGCTCGCTCGCTCGACGGATAGCTAGCTTCGATCAGCGCGATTGCGACGTTGGCCGAGTGGCAAGGCGAATCCCAGCCAAGCCTCCTGAACATTCGCGCTTTCCTAAGGATAAAAGCTTCCGCGCGGGATCCTTTCAGCCCGCTTCGCGTCTAATTTAGATTCTCCTCGAGATCCCGCGATTCGATCGCGGCTCGCTCGCGCTGTGAGCTCGCGTTGAAATGTTGCCACACCGGCGGCGGCAGATCGAAGTTATTAATTCGTTTAATGGCGATCATTTAGTAATGGCGGCGAGAATAATTCAACGCTCGTAATACCAACGATAGCTTAACAACGTCAGAGGTAATTCGACACGAGAGATTAGTTAACGACGAATTATTCGCTCGGTTAATTTTGCACCTTGTTCCGCATTCTCGGCTGGTCTTCTTTTTTTCTTCCTGAAGTAGAATCGTCATTTTTCTCCGCCACGTGATATCTCGCGTGTAATAGAACGGAATAGAGAATAGGGCTAGAGTAGAACGGAGGAAAATGGAATATAGAACGGAAACCGGATTAAGCGTAATCTTTAATTTATGAGCCACTCTCGTTATCGCAGACGCGCGTTGCGCGTGTCGAAACTCCCGTCCGATGCTCGTCCGACCGCGCGGCCGAAAAAGACGGCCGGCGACGTCGCGATGGGGATAACAGGATATTTGCACGTCTCATCCTTTTATCAGATGAAACCTCCCGTCCCGCGGAGCGTCTTTTTCTTTTCCTTCACGCGGAGATCATTTAAGAAGACACGCGGCGCGCAAGATCTTCCTTCTCTCATGCCACTGTGCACTCGGACGGTCGATACTTCCCTAGAATTGTCTACATCTCGATCATTTCCGGCACCATTTTCGTCGCGAGAGCAATCAGGAATAATTTCAGAATCGTAATGCTGATAATACTTTAACGAAGTTAGGGATAATTCGATACGACTGATAAGTCGGCGATCGATTATTCTCTGCAAATTTTGCCGGCCCGTCTTATCTTCTCGTTCCATTTCCCGTTTCATTTTTAACCTCTTCAGGAACGAATCGATCGAAATCTGAAGGAAATGATTTCATGTTTGAGCGAACGACCTGTCAATCGTGTTGACGAGATTTCTCTTTTCTTCGTGGAATTTTACGGAATACTCGTCCACGATAATGTTCGTTACATCTTTGTCGACAACGAAATTTTGAAACGAAAAAAACAAAATTGGACACACCTAAACGTTTAGTCAGTCATAAAAAAGTTTTGAAATTTTTTTGTAACGCAATTCGGGACACATCCTATGTTGTTTTACAGGATTTATTTTTTAGACTAAGTTGCATGTTAAGTAAGTCTTGCATGTTTTCGTGCTGAAAGCTTCGTTCTGTCCAGTGTTGTCGAGCTGGGTGATTTAGTGCATCTAGGCTGCACTTTACGTTATATCAGCATTTTCTCATATTTTAACTCGGAGAAATCATATTTGATTTCTCACCCTAAAATTTTATAATAAATGAAATAACGGTCTCCAAGTGTCGCGAATGTACCGACCTGGAGTATATCGAGAATCCATATTTTCATTTATTATAAATTTTTAATGTCTTAATTGCCAAATGCCTCTGTACAAAGCTAGATACGTTCGCGAGGAAGTCTTCAAAAGTAATTTAATGAACGTGTATGATTTATTCGAGTGAGAATATGGGAAAACGCTGATACAACGAAGAGTGTAACCTAGCTGCGCGAAATTCCCCAACTTGGACAACACTGGCGCTGTTTCCCTCCAACATGGGAAATAAAGAGAGAACGACGCTTTCAGTACGCTTTCAGCCTGAATAATTCTCAAGAAACATATTTTCCTATCGGATACGAGATACGTTGCGAAATTCATCGAAGAAACAACCTTTTCGTAATTGACCGTACGAATACGCGCCAGGATCTCTGAGGAGGCCAAGGTCGATCGTGACACGACACGCGAAAATCTAGAAACGAAAAGCGGCAACGCGCACGAGCGCATTACCACGAGGATCGCTTTACCTTTTTCCTTGTCGGAGAGAATATCGTCCGGTATCCTGTCGAGGAACGACGTCTCCGAGTCGCTCTCCGGAGCTGGTGCCGGTCCCGGGTCGCCCGGGATCTCACTGCCCAAACCAGAGTCGCTGCCATCCGACCTGACTTCGTCCCTTGCGCCGGTCGCCAGGGTCAAGCTCTCGGCGGAGTCCTCGGTGTAGGGCTCCGGTCGTTCCGCCTCTAGTCGCGTCATGATCGGCGGCATCTCCACGCAACAGAGCGGCGGCACTCCTTCGGCGCAGGGCAGCTGATCGGACGGCACGTCGACGTCGCGCAGCCTGATGTTGCTCGTCATCGGCGACACCTCCGAGCTGTCGGAGCCGGTCTCCGTCTCCGTCTCGGTATCGACTCCTTCCGCGACGTCCGCGGGGATCTCCTCTGCCGGCTCCTCCGGCGAACTCGGCACGGTCTCCGACGAGTCCAGTTCGTTCGATACCTGGCTGTCCTCGCCGGAGGGCGAGGAGCTCGCCAGCACCACTTCCTCGTGCTCCGAGAGCTTACCTATCACCTCCACCGGTATCGCCGATTCCTCCTTGTCCAACAACTTCCTCGTGGACTCGGTGTCCTCCTGCTGGGCCTGTTTCGTTTTATCGATTCGCTCCAACTTCACCATGCACGTCTTTACGCCTGGGTATTGCTGGCTTGGAGTACTCTTCGTCGGCTCGCGGGTTCTCGACTTGCTGGACGACGGGCATGAGTCATCCTTCCACGATTTCTTCTTTTTGAAATCCGCGTTCGACTCCGTCGATTCGACCGATCGGCACTCTTCCACTATTTCTCCTTCTTCTACCGCCCCGTCTTCCTCTTTTTGTTCTTCCCCTGCCTTTTGCTTCACGGGATTCGTCCTTCTCTCGGACCTGAGCGAACCCTCCTTTACGACTCTACTCCAGATGTTCTTGCCGGCCTTCTTCAGGATCATACGATTCTGAAGACGATCGACGTGGCTCAGCATTACGACCAAGTTTCGACAGACGGGACTCGAGGGCACCGACGAACTCGACGCTACCTCGACGCTCTTCTTCGGAATGGACGCGTCCGCGGTGCCGGTGTCTTCGACCTCCATGTTCTGCGTCAACGACGACGCGGTCGAGCCGGAACTGTCGCATCTCGATGAAACGGAAGTCAGCTCGACATCGATCGCCTGCTCCTGCCGGTCCGTCTTCTCGACGCAGTCCGGATTGTCCTGAGTGTCGCTGCTGCTACATTCCGCTATCGACGGGGTGACGGTCTCCTCGTGATCGTCAGCGTCTAGCTTCGAGTCACCGACGCTCCGAGTCCTGGACTTGTCCTCCGCCGGCGATGCCTCCGGCAGAGCGGCGTTGCTCCTCGACGTCGCCTCGTCCCCGAAGAGACAGGACTCCGCGGTGAGCGACACCTCGCCGAGAGTTCTCTCTCGCAGGCTCACCAGCACCGGTGACAACCTCCTCACGTCGTTCCTCAGCTGGACCGCCTCCTTCTCCGAGATCTCGACGCCGATCTTCTTCATCTCCGCGCCGATCGGCAAGAAGTCGCTGCTGGCGGGCCTCTTCCTGGACGCGCTAGGCGACACGAGGTCGTCGATCTTGCTCCGCTGCTCCTCCGCGCAACGTTCGCTCGTGCTCGAGGACACCTCAGCTCCGGGAGAAGCGTCCTGCGGCGATTTCGCGTCGTTCACCGCCCCCTCCCCGTCGGCGTCCTTGCTCATCCGGAGACCCATGTCCACCTTTGCCCGAGGTTGGCTCTCTACCGACGAGCGAGAATAATCACTCGATTGTACCTCCGCGACTCGCTCGTCCGCTCGCTCCTCCAGTTTCTCGCACACTATCACCACGTCCTTGCATGCGGCGCCAGCGAGACGAGTGGCGGTGGCGTCCGCTGACGACAACGTCGTAGTCGTCAGCGTCGCCGCCGTCGTCGTCGTCGGAGTAGCAGTGGCTGGTGTTGTCGCGTCGGACGTCGCCGGGCTGCCTTCAAGCTCCACTGAGGTGGAATCCTCTTGGGCCTCAACGAGAACGCCCCGGGCCGAAGGTGATTCCATCTCGGGTGTTTCTGCGATCTGCGAGCAATCAATTCAAAAGGCGGGAATTAAAAGCCAGTTACCTGCGTCGGCGACACGAAAGAATATCCGATCGATCGTTCTCGGGAGGATGAAAGAGAGAAAGAGAGAGAGAGAGGTAGGATCGTCTTCGAGGACGTCCATCGCCATAGCGTAGCGCGACAGTCCGTTATAACGTAACGTGCGGGTAATGCAGTGGCGAAGTCAATGACGAGAAGAAGCGAAATAAAAGAACTACGGATTAAGATCGTCGTGATATAAAAGTGCCGGTAGAGTGACAAATCGGAAGCAACGATTGATAATCCCGAGTGTAATAACGTATGTTTACGAATGCTAACGTATGACTCATACGTTGTCGGATTTACGTATGGTAATGTATGTATCGTATCTCAATTACGCACGCGTGTTAAATAACATGGACTGTTGAAATAACGATATCGCAATGTTAGAGCGCAATCGACACGCGAGATTTATCTGAAAGAAAAGAGAGAGAGAGAGAGAGAGAGAGGGAGAATAATAAGAGAGAGAATCGTCGCGTTGAATTATACAAAGTACAGCAAAATAAAAATAATTATTAGCGGTCGTCACATTTTTCCGCAGAAACGACCCTCTCACCCTTCCCTCACACCTTTCTCCCACTGTCTTTCGCCTCTCTTCCGCAGATAGATAAATAGAATAAATGATTTCACCGTCGCCGCCGCCGCTTGCGCGCCACTATCATCATCGCCGATCGTAGATTTTTCATGGCGTTCTCCCATTTCGTCGAAAATATCATAAGCAAGCCGGAGAGAGAGAGAGAGAGAGAGAGAGAGGGAGAGAATGGAGAAATCAATAATCCGCGCACTGATATCGCGCACCGCTAGACCCAGAAGAGAACGAAAGCAAAAGAGAGAGGGAGAGAGGAGAGAGAGCACGTCAGAGAGAGACACAGAGAGAGAGAGAGAGAGAGAGAGAGATAACACGCGAGGAGGAAAATCAATTTCCCAAAAACCTGGCGATCTCGCGCGTCCGCCAGCGAAACCCTCCTCTTCTCGACGATACATTTTCCTTATCGCCCCTCGAGTACGCGATACCACAAGGGAGCCTACACATAATCTTGGTCGGAGATTATTGATTCAAAGCAGGCTGCGGAGGAGTGCGCAGGGGAGGGTGGAGGTCAAAGGGGGGCACGGCGTTTGCCTCAGGTTACCGTGCGCGCGAGCGGGGGGGCCTCCGAGGGGACTCGTTCTTCGGCATCGAGGAGCGAGTGGGAATTTTACCTTGATGTCGCGCGATCCTTCCTCCTGCATTAATCCAGCGTCTCGACGACGACCTCGCGACTATCGCGGGCCCGAGCGGCGGCGGTAGCCCCCCACGTCGACCGGGGTCTTAAGTCGTCTCACGGCCGCTGTCATCTCGCCCGCGCGGGGGAGTCGTCGCGGGGCAACGCGAGCGGAGGAACGGTCTCGTCGGAGGACCGAGCGCGTCCTCGAGCGAGGACGTGCGGCTCGATGACGACGGTGACGGCGACATTCGACGCGAGCGATGCGTCAGGAGCGTCGAACTGACCGGAAGTTCAGGAGAGTCTACCGGCACGCCGGCTCTCTTATGGGAGACGCACAACCGGAGGCACCCGAGGCTTTGTTACCAGGGTGGCGAATCGACAGGTCGACGCGTGAGGATGCCGAGCGAAGAGGGTCGACGAGAGGGTTGCGATCCCACGGACGAGGTAATCAGAGAGAGAGAGAGAGAGAGAGAGTCTGTCCGTCAAACCAGAGAGAGAACCGGACCGACGACGGGAACACGAAGAAACGTACGAGGAGGAGGAGTGGAGTGACAGAGGTCAGAGGGGAACGTCCGGGGAACGTCGATGACGACGGCGCGACGACGAAGTCGAAGACGAAGAGGCGCGTGGATCGTGACGAGGGACTGGTGTGCGACGTGAGAAGAGGACCAGGTGCGTGGTTCGCGTTCAACAGCTCGGAGCAGAGTGAGCCGAGCGAGTGGAGGCGGCGGAAGTGGCGGCGGAGGCGGTGGCGGCGGCGTCGATGAGGCCGGCGACGCCGCCGACGTCGACGTCGCTCGGATTCGCTCGGCGTGACTCGACTCGGCTCGCCACCGCCGGAAAATACACGCGCGTGCGTTAGTGAATGCGTAATAGAGTGCTGCGGCGCAAACGCAGCGCAGCGGTTCTCAAAGCCCACCCGGTAGATCGGATTAGTCATCGGTGCCGTCGGAGAGAGAGAGAGAGAGAGAGAGCTCTCTTTCGCTCGGCTTTACGGCGTTTTCAATTTCGCACTGTCGAGAATCGCCGTCCCGTTGAAACGTGCACTCTCTCCTCCTCCTCCCCCCCTCCTCTCCTCGCGTCATCCGCGCATTCGTAGCGCTAAATATGGCCGCGTCTCTGAGTTTCGCAAGCTGAAATAATATTGTAGCCGGCGCGGCCCGCCGTCCCGATGGGGACAAATAAGGCTGAAAATCGGGCCGCCTCAGCGTTCGCGAACCGCGCCGCGGTCAGTACTCGGCGACCCTCCGCGCCGATAACGCGGCGGTTTTTGATACGAAGTAAAAGCGACGACCCCGGGTAAAAGTCCGAAGTTTGTCGTAGAAGGGGACTTACGCCGTAGAGAAGAAACGATGACCTCAATGAAAGCTGACCTCGTTTAAAAAATATAATAATTTTCGCTCCTAAACATACTTCCCGCTCTCCCAATAGAAACGTAGCAACGGTGGCACGCATAAAAATGTATTATTATTACGAGGAGTATTTTTCAGATCTCTTTCGAATCTCTTTCCCGACATTCAGCACGCGTGAGTGTTAAAGCAGCACATTTTATACTGCAGCGTCGATTAACCCTTTGCACTCCGCTGTCGCCGTAGCGGCGACATGGTTGTTTTGCTGCCTCGGCACTTTAAGAAATTTTAAGTCCTAAAATTTATGTTTTTCTTTTATAATATAAGTTAGAATATGTTTTGTTATAAAATAGCTAAGAAATAAAAATTTTGTTTTATTGAAACGACTCTATTTTTCTTCCACATCATAGGTATGTACTTGGAACTAATAGCCTCTATGCATTACTAGGCTGGAGTGCAAAGGGTTAATATGCCAGGAACATTATATAATTTCGCGTTAATTTACGACGTGGTATTTAAGGTTACTTTTCACCATATTCATCTTGTTAAATTAACGCGAACAATTTGCACGGACCGTTTGGGACACGTAGAGAAATGTGTTGGACTTCACGCAATGCTTTTCGCCGTGCGCTCGATCCCTTCGTTTTGCGTTAGAAGGAAAGTCGCGCGCGTCGTTGCACGTTTCCCCGATGTTCCCATGAAATATTAAAACAGGCGGCACCTTTCTCGATCACAGTCCTGACCGCGTGATGCGAATTGATGGTTCCGCAACGATGATGCATTCATTCGCCGTAGTCTAATTATGCCAGTGATGCGCGCGCGACGCGGCGCGCACGTCCACGGAGGAGGACGAGGAGAAGGTGAGGTAGGGGAGGGGGAGGAAAGTTTACTCGCGAAGAAGCATCGTAACGCATTACCCGCGCACGATTTACGATTCGCTAATTGCGAGGGCCCGATATCGCGGGGACGGGCCGCACCGGTTGACCAGTTCGCGAACGCAGTTTACGACGGCAGAAGTAATACGAGCATGTTGCAAACGAGTAAAGCGATTATATTCGGGGTAGCTTAAAACGAATAAAACGGACGGCTCGCTGGAAATCGGACAAGTGAATAATCCGAGGGTAAATACGAAATATACGCGTGCAAATAATGAATCGCGCAGCTCGCGCGTTTCAAATTACATCTGACGAGGACGCCTGCATTTCTGAATAAATTTCGGCCTCGACTGGGTACCTTTTTTTTATGGTTTTAATCGCAAAAATAGTAACAGCAATATGCATGTAGGGTTGTTATTATTGATATTATTAGTACATTTGTTAGAAAAATGGTCCCCTTGCACAGTGAAAAACGGTTCACTGAGATCTTGTGTTACTTTAATATGGGGAATGTGTTGAAAAGTACACGAATATGATGCTAAACCGACACATTCATCTTGTCAATATATATTGAATGTGTTGATTTAACATTATATTCGTGTGCTTTTTAACCCACATTCCCCTATGTTAGAGTGACACAAAATTTCAGTTGGGCCGGTCTTTAACGCAAAATTTTTCACCGTGTGGCTACAATCCCTTCACTATGATGATCATACAAAACTTCGAATTATTTTTCTCCCAGCGCGATCAACGAGACTCGCCGTCTCGAATTTTCGCGAAACTTTCGCACGATTCGATAAATATACATGCGGGGGAGTGCGAGCGCGAGTCAAAGGAAACTAATCGGATCGTAACTTCGCCCTCGACGCGCCTGCGTGTGGTATCGCGGATACTTTTTTTTCCCCCCTCCAGCAGGCGAGGAATTTACCGTGTTCGCGTACTCGGAGGATTCTCCTTACTCCCGGAAAATTCCGACGGTCGCGAGGTGTCGCGATCGCCAAGCGGCGGCGGAGGAGCGGAGGGAGGAGACCACCGGGACCGTACACGAATATTGAATGCGACGACGTGCGACATAATAACCAGCAATAAAAATCTCAGTACCGATTGACGTAAAGCGACGGAGCGCAATGACGCGAAAACCGTTCTTGCCGGGATGTATCGCACGTGCGATATCGGCTCGCGCGATCCGAGGCCCGGTCCGAGCAGAGTTCACAAGCTGGATAAACTCTCATCAATCCACCGTGTGCGAAGATTCAACAGCCCGGAGCCGCTTTGGGTCCTCCGTCGGACCTTGCTCGCTTCAGCCAGCTTTCTTCGGGAAGGGCGGGCGCGGGAGAAAATCCTCTCGCGATCGAGCAGCTCGATCGAGCGATCGGCCATCGCGCTCTCTTCGGGGTAGTCGTTCTTTCGAACGGGAATACTAAGTGGGAGGATATTTATAGACTCGTTCGTTGCGCGCATGGAGACATTCCTCGCGGTGAGGTGAGGCGACGTCGCCCGTGACGGAAAATC